TCCGATCCTCTCCCCCGCTTCCACTCGTCCTCCTCGCGTGTTTCTTCCGTCCCTCTCGACCCTACCGTCCGCCCCTCGACCGCTCTCTCTTCCTCCTACACCGCGCGCACCCCCGCCTCCCCCGGCCACGAGATCCTCTCTCGATCCTCTCTCGAGCGCGCGATCGTTCCCTTCCTCGGCGCGAGCGCGCGCGCGCTACGACTCCTCTCCTTTTCCCTTCCGTTTTTCCCTCTTGCTCGCCCTCGCGGGGGCTCCAACACCAACGCGACGATCGCCGGTAACACTGCCAACGTTCGCCGGGTGACGTCACTGGCGTGGGCGCACCCCCACGCCACACGGAGAGCGCGTCTCTCTTTCCTTCTTTCTCCCCTTCTTTCTCCCCTTCTTTCCATTCTACCTCGCCGCCACCTCCACCTCTTTCCTCTTCCTCTTCCTCCTCTTCTTCTTCTTCTTCTTCTTCTTCTTCTTCTTCTTCTTCTTCTTCTCCGTTCGCGTTCCTCTTCGGCCTCGCGTTCGTCCCGGTAACTCCGCTTCGACTTATCTCTCCGTTCGCTCGTTCGCTCGCCACGAGACACCTCTCTCTACCCGAGGGACCCCGCGTGTCGTCGTCGACGCGGCCGATTTCGACGCCGGAAGTCCGGGAATCTCGCGGAAATTTTCGGCCCGGTGTGCCACGCGTCGCGACCTTGAAATTGGAGCGTCCACGGGGAGAGAGACAGAGAGAGGGACGGTCGACCGTGCGAGAGGAGAACGCCAGAAGGTTGAGGTCGATACTCCCCGGGTTGGATGACTTTTACCGTAAACACGCTGCCCCCGCGTCGTCCGCGCTTCTTCTTCTTCTTCTTCTTCTTCTTCCTTCTCGCCTCCCTTCGCTCCCGTTCCATTCGTACCCTACGTCGACTCCTGTCCCGTCCGAGGAACGAATCCTCGACTTACTCGCGGGACAGCCCTGGAACGAAGCGTCGCGTTCGCGCGCGGCTCTCGACGCGTGCCAGAAGCGCGTTGGAAAGGCGCGAGCGCGATCCGGTGCGTGTTGCGAGCGATGACGAAGGGAGGAGAAACCGCAAAAAGCGGCGATCGCGCGGAAAGCGAGACACTCGGAAGCTGGAAACGCGTTTTTGCCGCTCGCCGCTAATAGACCACTCGAGAACGACTCTAGCCACGCGATCGGAGACTTCCGACCATTCCCGTTTCTCTCGCGACGCGACGCGAGGAATAATAACTGGATTACCCGTGACGGGATGCATCGCGGGAAGATCCGGCCACGAACGAGCGACGTTCGAGCGGAATGATCGACTCGTCGGATGTCGGATCGAGACGGCCGTCTCTCCGGAGAGCACTCGTAAAGCGAACGGTCCTATTCTTTAATCTATCCCATTAAATTTGAGACACGGAATCCCAGCGAGGCATAAGTTACGAGGCTGCGTTTACGAGCGAGGTAGCTGCAACTGTAAAAGCTAACGACGTCCTTTGCGCTAGCTGAAACAACGTTCGATACGATTCGATCTCGATCTCTCCTCTCTCGCTCTCGCTTTCCGCGACTGTCCCGCTTGCTCCGCTTCGCGACGCGACAATTTTATCGTTACGCGGAGCAGAATCGCATGCGATGTTCCAAAGATAAGACCGGCAGAAGATGTCCTCCAGCGAGCATAGAGGTATCGAAACAGGTCAGTCCAGTTTTTGCAATTATGTCAAAACGACTATTCCGACGTGTATACCCTCTAGCTAAAAAGGGTTGCAACTTCCCCCTCGGACGCTCCAGCGACGGCTGGCGTCGGCGTCGCCTCGCCGCTGCCGAACTCCGCTCCAGCCGGCGTAGATATACGCGCGCGCGCTCCGCTGCCGCTCTCGTTGCCTTCATGACCGAATAAAGATACGAGGTCGCGAGTGACCGTGACTGGACGAAAGAGGGAAAGAAAGAAAGACCTCGCCGGGAGGAAGAGAGCGCGCGCGTGCGTGGTCCGAAGCGGGACGGAAATTCAGCGGCCGGTATCGGCGGCGTCGCGACGCGATCGTCTGGCAAGGCGACCGGGAGAGGAACCGACGCGTACGTGTACCGTTGGCGAGAGGGACGCGAACGCGCCAGCGTCTCTCACCTGATCGATCGTTTAAAGAATCATAAATTCGACGATAATGATTTCCACGAGTGGCGAGCAACGCGGGATACCTGACACTATAATTTCTCGGTCTTCGATTACTCGAGTAGAACCTCTTGCCCCCCTCCTTCTCTCTGGCCCGAGTTCTCCATTAACCGGTGTACCCTCGGGCGTCCGTTCAATTTTTCAACCAAAGATTCGCCGCGTTACTTCGACCCGGGGTTCGCGCGACGACGACCACGACGACCACGACGAAGCGAGAATGATCGCGCGTGTAAACGCGAGAGGATCCAGAGCCGAATGGGACGAGGAAAAAATTGGATTCGGGTCCCGTTTCGCGGCCGCTCTAATCGTTCTCCTTAAACTGCCAGGGGGATCAGTCGGGTGTAGAGCCGCGGAGAACGAGCGAAGAGGACGATGACGGTGACGGCGATGGTGGCGACGACGATAACCGTGGTGGTGGCCGCGGCACAGGCACACGCCA